TTTACTTTTCTTCAGCTTCAACTTGAACCTGTATATGAGCAACTGATGGTCTGTTCCACAGTCAGCTCCTGGCCTTATTTTGACTGAAGATAATGAGCTTTTCCATTGCCTCTTTCCACAGATTTAGTGTATTCATCTGGCAAGATTCACACACACACAGTCACCGTTTATGTTGTTGAAAAAAGGTATTTGCAATGAAGAAGTCTTTGGTCTTGCAAAATTCTATCATGTGATGTCTGACGTCATTTCTATGACTAAGGCCACATTTTCCAACTACCCAAGATTCTGCTTTGTCTCCAACTTTCACATTCCAATCACCAGTAATAATCAATACATCTTGACTGCACGTTTGGTCAATTTCAGACTGCAGAAGCTGGTAAAAATCTTCAATTTCTTCATCTTTGGCTTTAGTGGTTGGTGCATAAATTTGAGTAACAGCAGTATTACCTGGTCTTCCTTGCAGGCATATGGATATTAGCCTATCACTGACAGCACTGTACCTCAGGATAGATCTTAAAACATTCTGACTATAAATATAATGCCATTCTTCTTCAATTTGTCATTCCCAACATAGCACACCATATGATTGATTGAAAATGGCCAATATCAGCCCATTTCAGCTCACTAATGCCTAGGATATCAACTTATATGAGTTCCATTTCATTTTTGACAACTTCCAATTTTCGTAGATTCATACTTTGTACATTCCATGTTTTGATTATTAATGGATGTTTGCAGCTGTTTCCTTTCATTTTGAGTTGTGTCCCATCAGCAAATGAAGGTCCCAAAAGCTTTACTCAATCCACCTCATTATGGTCAACTCTACCTCAAGAAGGCAGCTCTTCCCCAGTCGTATTTTGAGTGCCTTCCAACCTGAAGGACTCATCCTCCAGCACTATGGTATCCAGTAATATATATCAGACAGTGTCTCACAGCTATTCATAAGGTTTTCACTGACCAATTTTATCAGCAGTGGATGGCGCTATCCTTCTTCCCAGTCTTAGTCTGGAAGCTCCACTGAAACCTGTCTACCGAGGGTGACCCTGCTTGTATTTGCAATATAGTGGCAGAATCTCCAGCCTCACAAGCAACATGCAAGCTACGCACAGTATGACAACTGGTTGCAGTAGTCAAGCGCAAATCATCTTTGCCACCCAGAGATCTTATTTACTTAATACAAAACCAAACCAAACCCACTGCCACTGAGTTAATTCTGACTCATAGCAACCCCATGTGTTTCAGAGTAAGTAAGGATTTTCTTGGCAAAAATCTTTATGGAAGCAGATCACCAGATCTTTATTCCACAGCACCACTGGTGGGTTTGAACCACCAACCTTTTGATTTGTAGGTGTGTACAAACCATTTGCAGCACATACAGAGACCCTTGTATACCTATTACCAAAACCAAACTCACCGCCATCAAATCAATTCTGACTCAGAGGGACCCCATTGGGTTTCTAAGCCTGTAAATCTTTATAGAAGCAAACCACCTCATCTTTCTTCTGTGGACTGGCTAGTGGGTTTGAACTATAGATCTTTTTGGTTATCAGCCTAATCCCTAATTACTGCACCACCAGAGCACCTTTGTATACCTATTGTTGTTGTTGCTGTTGTTGTTGTTGTTATATGCCGTCGAGTCAGACCTGACTCATAGCGACCCCTCCTTGGGTTGCCAAGGCAGTATCACTACGGAAGTAGATTGCCCAACCTTCCTTCCGAGGAGTGGCATAGGATGGCTAAAATTAAAAAGAATGACTTACAAGGATTAGCGAGGATATATAGTAATGGAACTGTTATACACTGCTGGTGATAGTTTCTTACATGTTAAATATACCTATCACGTGATCCAGTCATTCCACTCCTAGAGAAAGGAAAGAGTAAGACTTGTATACAGCTTTATTTACAATAGCCAAATACTAGAAACAGCTCAAATACCCATCAACACGTGAATGGCTAAATGAACTAAGGTATATCTAAACAATGAAATGTTGTTGTTGTTGTTGTTGTTAGGTGCCACTGAGTCGGCTCCAACTTACAGTGACCCTATGTACAACAGAACAAAATACTGCCCAGTCCTGTACCATCCTCACAATCCTTGCTATACTTAAGCCCATCACAGCAGCCATGTGTCAATCCATCTCGTTGAAGGTCTTCCCCTTTGTTGCTGACCCTTTGCTTTAGTGAGCATAATATCTTTCTGTAGGGAACGGTCCCTTCTGACAATATGAACAAAGTAGATAGGTGAGTCAAAGTCTGGCCATTCTCGCTTCTAAGGAACATTCCAGCTGCATTTCTTCCAGGGCAAATTTGTTTGTTCCTCTGGCAGTCAACAGTACTTTCAGTATTCTTTGCCAACATCACAATTCAAAGGTATCAACCCTTTTTTGGTCTTCCTTATACACTGTCCAGCTTTCACATTCATATGAGGTGACTGAAAATACCATGGCTTGGGTTAGGCTCACCTTAATCTTCAAAGTGATATCTTTGCTTCTTAACACTTTAAAGAGGTCTATTGCAGCATATTTGCCCAGTGCAATACGATGTCTGATTTATTGACTGATTTCATGGGTTTTGATTGTGGATCCAAGTAAAATAAAATCCCCGACAACTGAGGTTATCTCCATTTACATTATGCTGCTTATTGGTCCAGTTGTAAGGGCTTTTGTTTTCTATGTTGAAGTGTAATGCATACTAAAGACTATAGTTTTTTATCTATATCAGTAAGTGCTTCAAGTCAAGTCCTCTTTGCTTTCAGCAAGCAAGGATGTATCATCTGCGTGTCACAATTGTTAATGATTCTTCCACCAATCCCGATGCCACATTCTTCTTCATATAATCCAGCTTCTCAGATTATTTGCTCAGCATACAGATTAAATAAGAAAGGCAAAAGGATACATCCTTGACCCACACACTCTTCCTGATTTTAAACTTGTTCTGTTCAAACAACAGCCTCTTCCTGATTTTAAACTTGTTCTGTTCAAACAACAGCCTCTTCATCTATGTACAAGTTCCTCATGAACACAATTAAGTCTTCTGGAATTCTCATTCTTTGCAATATTATCCATAATTTGTTATGATCCACTTAGCTGAACGCCTTCACAGAGTCAATAAAACACAGGTAAACATCTTTCTGGTATTCTTTACTGTCAGCCAAGATCCATCTGACATTAGCAATGATATTCATGTCCTCTTCTGAATCCAGCTTGAATTTCTGCAAGTTCCCTGTCAATACACTGCTGCAACTGTTTTTAAATTATCTTCAGCAAAATTTTACTTGTGTTTGATATTAATGATATTGTTTGATAATTTCCACATTATGCTGGGTCACCTTCCCTTCGAATGGGCATAATTCTCAGCAATAAAACAGAATAAATTACTGACACATACAAATTACAGATAAATCTCAAACGAGTTATATCAAGTGAAAACCAAACAAAAAAGATTACATAACTATATGATTCCATTTATGTAAAACTTCTGCAAACTTAAATGTGGATGAACTTGGAGGATATTATGCTGAGTGAAATAAGTCAATCACAGAAGGGCAAATATTATATTAGTTCATTATTGTAAAAATTCAAGGGAAGGTTTATATACAGAAGGAAATTAACTTTGTTTTTTACCAAGGGTGGGAGGGGAGAGGAGGAAACACTGCTAACTTTTTTTAAAAAATTTAAAAAAAAAATTCTGAAAACTAACTACAGTGGCAGAAGCACATCAATGGTTGCTTGCAGATGGATGGCGTATGAGAAAGGAATTACTAACAGGCAGGAGTAAACTCTGTGATAACATATATATATTTACTATCTTGACTGTAGTGGTGGTATATACACATGTCAAAACTTAGCAAATTGTACAATTTAAATGTGTGTGGTTTACTGTATCTCAATTATATTTCATAAAATATGTTTTTTATAAAAACTAAGTGATACTGTCTTTTTCTTTCAGGTTTAAAATTTAAAAGTATTTTCTTTCCTGTCTATGTTTAATAGTATTAAAACCAAAACTTAATAGTATTACTTCTAAAAAAATCCTATAACCATTTTTGTCCCAAATTCTCCACATTTTCAAAACTGAACCCTTAGATGTAGGAGATCCTGCATAAAGAGGGAGAACAATGTGGTACAAAACTCAAAATCATTTGGAGGCAAAAAAAAAAAAAAA